AAGCTATGAACTACTTCATCCGCTCTTAGGACGAATGTCGTGGTAAATGCAACTGCCGTCATAGTTTGATTGATGAAAAACAGCCCGTAATGGCAAGAGAAACCCGCCCTCTTGAGCTGATGCACGAATATCGAAAGCGCCACGAATGGAAGTTAACTTCACGTTAACTACCAAGACTTGGAAAATGAAGGTGTGGAATAAATTATGTAGAAACTGTGGCAGATAAGAAGCCCTGGAAAGGAAATAGGTACCGTTGAAGGGTAATGAAAGTTTCTCGAGTAGTGGGATGATGATCAAAAACAGCAGCATGAGGCTTTCATTTGAAGGAGATAATTTTGGGTACTGCTGAGAGGAACGGTTAGTGTTACAAGAACGCAAGGGAAAGGTTTCTGCGTTTACATATTCTGATTTTGCTTAGTTTCGTTTTAAATTCTCACCCTTTAAGACCCTAAGATATAACAAAAAAGGGGGTTAAGATGTCAAATAAATTCAGCGCGGGACTTTTGGTTACTTAGGCTCCTAAACAGACACTTACACTCAAACTAAAGACGACTCATTGACATGGAAGATAGATGGACTATCTTCAACGCCTACTTTAACTCAAAACTTGGGAGCTACCTTAGGTAAAATGCTAACCATGAATTGAATCACAGTTACATGTGATGTTCTTGGAAAAAAAAGTACCCTCCAATTTGCAGGCAATGGTAGAGCTCTCACAAATCAACATTATAATTGGGTAGGGAATGTTTACTTGATAGATGCTCTTGGTACGACGATGAACAAATAAGATGAAAGGAATTGACAAAGTGAGCAACCTTCATAGAGAAAGCCAGTTTTTCTCAGATTTTCCTACTATAACGGCTGTCACTGAGCACTGCGTATAGTTGTAAATAAAAGTGACACGTAATTCAAACATCCATTCACCTGCGAGTGTGTGCAGAGGATGATCCCCATTGTCTTTTTACCAGTCGAGGGGAAGGAAAACATTTGACTAGTACTATGCACAGCTTCTGGGACGTTCCAACCTGACATATATTTGACTCCGAAAAAAAACTGCGCATTTATCAAGTGACGCAAAATTTTTAGTGGATACAATTACTCAAAATAATATCTCGGCATGCTTGAGGCATAACCTTTTACAAAGTGTTCATCACTTGTTCCCCCTTAGTTAGAATTAACAACCAAGAGAGATTAACATAGTCAGTATACAGGAGAGGATTTGGTAGATAACACGGACGTAGGCGGATATGGATTTGTGAAGTGGTTTTTGGAAAAAGTCACGTCATTTTTAATCAATCGCATATATACTACATCGCATGAAACTATTATTTGGGAGAAGTGACCGTATGCCTACGCAGACTGCAGCCCTCGAGCCGGTAAAAGGTAGTTGCAACGCATTGAGATATGCATAATTACTGAAGAAATGCAAGGCGAACATCAGGGTAGCCAATTTATGAAGCTAAATTAATAGGTTATTGCGGAGATTGCTGTTGATGATAAAGACATCTTGAGTCTGCCTGCAATAATGGCATTAACTTGATGCAAAAAAGGGAGTGTCTTGGCTCCACTTATGTCCAGCTTCAAGCATCGCCTTTGTACATCTGTGTCAAATTTTCGCTCAAAGTAGAACAAAATGTTTGCTTTGTAGTTTTTGATAAAATGGAGAAAGAGCTAGTCTTTTGACTGTTTTATTCGCGTAGTTAACGAGTAACGTCATTTCGTCAATTTAAACGCATTCCTGACGTAAAATTTAGTGTCAAAAAGCAACTTTAAACGAATGAGATATTACCATGATTGCTTAATTCATGACAAATTCATGCTCAAAATTGACGATTGAATGGTAACTCCACAGATGGATGGATGTTTTGATAGTATAGCGTCAATTTCATGTTTACCGAGCTTACGAGATAGGGGCTAAAAAGCCTCATATATAATGAATATCTTGACATGAAAACACTCCAAAAGTGTAATTTTGACAATTTTTGGCTGAAAATAACAAAGTACGGAAGAAATAGTTACGCTTTGAGATATATTAAAGGAAGGAGCTTATTTTGGGAATAAAGCATCCAGGGAAAAATACTGAATTGAGATTTAACTTGAAGCATATATTTGTGCCAAGAATTTATGAAAAATTGGACCAAGTAGTAAATAATAGAAACGAATCTAGTGACAATCTTCCATCCCACATTATATGCTGTAACTTCATTTGTTTCTCATAGTGACACAAACCAGTTGACGCCACGATGAGGAAAGAATATGCGGTCTGACGGGCACGGCTTGCACAAGATTACCGACACTAAGACATTTTACACCAGACCTATCTTAAACATGCGATCTTTAAACGGAATTATGGCAGGCTGATGGTGGGTACTGCGCATTTTTGGAATATTTAGTCGGAAAAGTATGATGGTGCTACCTGTCAAAGTGTCGGCTAACCCTATAAGGTCCAGAAGATTTTGGGCACGTTGAATTGTCGCTTGTAAAGAAGCAAATCATAGAAATGTATAGCATCGTGAAGTCTACATATCCAACTGTTTTCCACCCAAGAAAGTATAATTAGTTAGTACTGCAGCAAAATTCCTACAGCGCAGCAACCTTAATAAATCACTCTCGTTAAAAAAGAGAGGACACTACCTTATGATCTTGAGAGAGAAGTTGAACTGCCCAATTTTTAGGAATATCAGGGTGCAATTAAATGAAAAAATGATGAGAGAAGAATGGTGTAATTTAAGTAGTCAAGAGAATCCCATAATTTGACTGGTGTGATCAAATTGCCCTGTAATTCAAATGAGCTATTGAGTTGAACAATGATTTGCTTTGTCATCACGAGGAGAGCAATTATTACTCCCTCCCAAATCACATTTACATTATCATTAAGCAGTAACTGCTGTAAAAAGGCAAGAAGGATATTAAATTATGAGAAGCTTTAATATTTCCTTAACTGATGGCTGAAAAAGTAATCAGTCCAACCATACTGTACAGACTCAAGCCGAATAAAATTCTACTTCCTTTTGAAATTCCGGGAGAAGGATTCACGAATACGTGCTAGCATAAAAGTCTGCGATTCTGTGGAGTGGGTAAATTTCCTACAAGTATTCCGCTGTTACTGCTGTTTACCAAAAGCGTTAAATTAGAATTTTATCCAGTATAACGGGAAGTCTCGGTACTCATGCATCTCAGTATTGTATCCTTTACCTACAGAAGGGCCTTCAGTTGACTGGGTCTTCACTTGAAATAGGATTAAACTAACAACAAATTATTATTGACATTTCTAGGCAGTAGTTGAGAAAGCGAAATTTATTCCAATCCCTCAATATTTTCATGCCAAAATAGTTAAGTTGTTGACACAAGTGCTGCCAAAAATTAGCAATGTGGAATTAAAAAAACAACTGACGTGCGTGAACAGATTCCAAGTTTCAATAGGATAGCCACGCCATTGATGACTTCTTTACGCTAAAGTACAAACTATACAAATTTTGATGGGGATAAAAAACCAACCTACACTTTCTTGTAAACCGCCCCTTTTCTATAAGGGCGGGTGAAAATATGCTAAACTCTATGGCCGATTCAAGGGGCGAATTTAGAATTGGCATTACTTAAATACAATGTTTTTCTTCGCCCTAGTTTTGGTCATTTTACTGCCCAAAATAATCTGCCTGATTATTCACAGCGTCATATTCGACGTTGAGATAGCTTGCTTTTGTGGAGGACAAAAGTACAATGGCGATGTTAATGTATGGGAGAGTACGATTGACCGTAAATAACTATCAAATCATATTTGTGATATCGAGCAGAGCAAAATCCCCATTACTGAATATGTATAGTGAAACAAAAAAGCGGTGATGATTTTTCCAACTGTATGAGCAAAAATAGTTCCCCTAATCCCAAAGTCACAGGATATGGACTTTCAGCAATTGAGCAATTAATACTAGTAAGATTTTTAGCCTCTTAAATTAAAAAAAATCGCATTGTGAAGAAGAAGTGCTTCATGCGCGTTTTTAATAACTCCTTTTAACAAACTATTTGTTGAAGGCCAGTGAAGTTCAAACAAACAACATAGAGGACTGCAAAGGCAATCGAGAATTGCGAAGAATAAAGAGAAAATCGTGTCATTTTAATGAATTTAATGTTTTTTGTGAAGGTTAAAGAGTATCTTACGACAATGTAGTAGAATCGAAAGGATTTTAGGTGAAGCAGTTCAAGGTAAGCCCTCCTTGTGGTACGAAAAAATAACACAAAAAATAATTAACATAACAAAAATCAACAAAAAAATAGGCTGTTTTCTAGAAGATGCGCATGTTACTGCGTGGGAACCAATGGCAATTCTTTTTTGTGTCACAGTGCCTGCCAATTTTCTTGAAAATGTAACCATTTCGCGCTTAATAGTCAAATGTCTCAAATCTCGGGAGAGGAGGAAGATCTCGTAAAAATTACTCCACGTTGTGTGTTTGCTGACTTCTGTGCAAAAGTACTTTCCACCACGAACTCACTTTACGCAACCGAAATCACTTCTCCTAAAACGCGAAAAGCAAATAGCCAGCATGCTAACGCACAGGCAATATATCATTAGCTAAAAGTGTTTTTTTTTCCTTTTAGTACATCAAATTGATGAAACCGATAAGAAAGTCTTTAGCATGCCTTTTCAAAAAGAAGCTGCTATCAACAGCTGCTAGCTTGCTTCTTCTTCTCCCAAGTTTGTCTAAATTCAGGAAATAGTATTTTCTGGCAGATAAGGACAACATTTTGCTTAAAATACAGGCTTGATTAATTACAATCGGCTTCCAGTAATGCGATGTAAAATAGGCGACGTTAAATTTGAAGTGATTCATTATAGATCATAAAGGCCTCGGATAATAATGCTTTTTTATTTCGCTAGAAACTGCGTTTAGCAAAAAATTTGAGTTTTTATTTAAAGCAGGAACTGGAACGAGTTTGATGCTCAGTTAACAGTTCTAAAACCCCGCCTAATTGACGTAATTATTGAGAGTGGATGTACTCACCGCCAAAGTAGGAGCCATCTGATAGGCTGGTGGCGACACGACCATCGGTGTCAACAATATCGACAACGCCTTCCTGGATGAAGTACATTTTGGTCCCCATCTGACCTTCCTTAATGATCCAGTCACCTGGTTGAAACACCTCGTATTTCAACCGCATCAGCACCTCTGAGACAAAGTGACGATCGGCGTAGGTGAAAAAGGGAACTGCGGCGACCAGCGCTCGGCAGTTGTGATTCACGATTTGCTGCAAGACAGAAGCTGCAGATTACGTGGGTGCTCCAAGCCTCCTGGGTCAACTTCAAATCACAGGAATGCATCCTCAGTTAAGCCTTCCACAGTATTCGTCGTGTATGAATGTGTATGACATGAGAATGGATGCAGCTATTTTACCCATTTCGGTAAAGGCGTTTTATATTTATTCAAATTATTTTTGTGGATTTAGAAATTCGTCCACCCACAAAACGCAACAACTTAGACGCTTCTAGAAGGCAGACACTGCATAGGGTGATAGGTTTAGTGAATTCTTGACAGGCGAACAGGCATTCGAAAGGAAAATAACAAGAAAAAAACCATCTGCATTAGAATGGACACAAAAACCCCTCAGAACAAGAAACCTGATTGCATCTGAATTGTCATTTATAAATGGTAAAGAATGCGCCGAAAGCTTCGTGTAATTAATGGCCACCTTTTACTGCTCCCATGAATCTTCCCAACTCTGTTGAGTGCCCCACTCTCCTCGGCGCTGCGTCACACCTGCCATCTCCTTTCTGGCATTGGACACAAGGAGGATTTCGGGAATGACGCTGATAAAGTAGGCATCCCTCAACGGAAAAGTACATGAAGTGCCCTAGACAATGGGGGTTTCTTGTCATTAGCGCTAAATACGACTTTGCTGCATTTTTTATTATTAAATTGTGAAAGTGAATAGGGTGCTCAATTTGGAATGAGCAAAGCACTAGTTATGATTTAATATTGCCCCCCTTTTACACTCAAGGATACACACAAAGTTTTTTATTAATGGTTCTCCGTGTAGTCCATATTTTATGGCAGAAATGGGTTTTTTGTGTCACAAAACTGGCAATAATTACTAATATGCACACAGGCTCGCTTTGATGGAATAAGGCCCGTTAACATAAACCAAGATTGCAAAAAAATGGGGAATCTGTGATAAATGCGGACTTAGAGCTGCCACAAATTTCATGACTGTCACGTTAAACAGGAGAACAGGCAAAAGTGATTCCAAAGCAGACAAATCCTTTAGGGATCACGCAAAGCAAAAAATAAACTGAATGCAGGTGAAGTTGTGACAATTACCTCACAAAATAAAGAATTTATGGAGAAGAGATATGAGGTATGGTCTAGGAGAATTAAGAATGTAAATGCATCGATGAATGCTTAACATTCATGCAGTAGGTAGGCGCTTCACTCCCCTCCTCCTGTCTTAGTGGCAGCTATTTTAACCTCATGAAGATAAACGTGTGCCTCTATAAAAAGTTGCCACTCGTAAATGCAAGAGACACCGTAGGATCTGGCAAACATTCTCAACATCCCGAAGACTAACGGTTCACTAACCTAAATGGTGTGGTTGACAGGACAAGAGATCTGTAAAAATAATTCTCCAGTTGAAGTAGAGATGCATGGGGAAGTGGAATTAGACTTTCGAGGTATTTATGAGGAGCCTCCAGTTTCCGTTTTTGAGCCATTTAAAGGGATAAATTGCGGGGTTCTATTAAATTATCAAAAAGAAAGTAGGTAATCTCGTTGAAGTAAATTAAGCCACCAAACTGTCTTTTCTCCGGAAGTATTTGTGCATCAACATTAGCTTACTTGGAATGTCAAAAATTGTATGATTTATGTGTTCTTTGGAATGGAAGAGATTTTAGGGTCGAATATAAAATCCCGGTCCCCGTTTTTTCCGCTTTTTTAGAAGTTAGATTTTCACCAATCTTATGTGACAGTAGGTGGGAGGGATGGAACGACGGCAAATTTCGTTAGTGCTTGTGTTTCTGCCGTCGCCTCTACGGAGAGAACACATAACCTGGCGTCCTTTAGGTCAAAGTGGCAATAACGCCGGAAGGAGGGAGTACGCAGGGTCAAGAATTTGCTGCATTTTCGCGCCTGACCTTAAGTACGGATGAACAGAGTCGGTGCAGCATGCCAACAACAAAGTGCAGAAAGGTAGGTTTCATGCACCTGAAGAATTTCTGCCATCAACAACGCCAGAGGCATTTCCAACCAATTCGGAGATCGACAGCTAGTTGTCAACACAGTGCTTAAAATATTGCACGATTTTAAAGTTCAAATAAATCTTAATTGAAATAATCTGAGGAAATCATTATGTAGAAAAGCTAAATGTGACTGCAAAATCACGTTTAAAGTTAAGCGAAAATTTTGAACAACATTTGGAAGGTCTTAATGGAACGATAAATAGAATCAATTGAAAAATTACCTTTAAATAGCCAGACTATAATGGAAGCAGGTGAGGAAAAAACTTTATCCCTTAGCAAAAAGAATCCTGTAGGGGATCCTTTTGTTCTGATAAAAGCACAAATTCGACATGATCTCATGAACGGACGGCTTACAATGGAGGCCTGGCGTTAGCGCAACTATGATAATCCTGATATTTTTGGTTTCGGAAGAGAAGAGACTTGTGAAATTAAAGCAAGAAAGTAAGAAAACAGGAAAGGTGAAAAACTACTCCCCACCTCTCGAAGACATTCCGAGAGCTCATCCAAGATGATCACCTCGTTGAACATTTTACCCTGATATCGGTGTTCATAGTAGTTGGCAATCTTCTGTCGAAGAACCCGCGGCAACTTGCGGTACGCCATGTACTCTTCCACCTGCTTGAACTGGAAGAAGAAATTCAGGAAAATGAAATTAGGGAAAGATAACGCCGAATCAGATGCATACTTAATGGAAAAACACGTTATTGTGCGAATTCACCTGACAGTTCCGATTCCCACCTCCATTTGAAAATGAAAACACAATTTTTTTGTTTAAATCTATGAAAAAACCTGTATTTTTCGCTTTCTAAGATTCCATCTATGTTAAAAAGCCGTTGTGAAATTCCCCTCCATACAGTTTCCAGATCAGGGAGAAAAAAAACTGTTTGAAAAGTTGGTGGAAAACCCCCGCAGTTGGAGCCAAGTAAAAATACTTCACAAGTCAATTTTTGCATTCCTTTCTTAAAAATGTTTTCAGAAACAGGTGGGTCAAAATATCCTTCTGGAATTACTTTACTTTGGTGGTATTAAATTTCGTGTGGTTATAAGGAATTAAATCATGTTGAAGGAAATTTGGACGATTTTCTACTTTTCGCCTCTGGATGCCATATTTTACAAAAGTGCCAGAGCTCAATGCAGGCTTCATAATCCTCTGGAGGGCAAAACTGTGGCAACTCATCAACGGTGAAAGTGGTCATTAGATGGCCCTACTTGATCAAGATCGCGGTGCGATATCGGCTCTTGAGGTATTACTACACAACTGGGAGATCGCTATCAGTTTCCTGACATTAAGCGAAGAAACTAAGAAATGTTGTACAAACGGGAGGCAAGATGTTTACCTTTCCGAATAAAAAAATATTAATAGAACGGAGCTGAAAGCGAAGAACAAACGATGAATCTAATCAGAGCCCCATTCCCAAATCTGAAATGGGATAAACACTAACATGTTTACAAAATTCAAACTAATGGCAGTCTGAGCACAGCAGAATCCACTTTTCCGATGTTTTGTTAAACTAAAAATGAACCATCAACTCTGCTTCAGTCAATAGGTAAATTATTGAAGCGATACAATTAGGAGTCTTTGGAGCTCCTAATAATTGAGTTGACACTTTTTTCGTCTTTTTCCTGCCGATCATCACCAGCCATATGAAAGTCCAGACAAATGTGGCAATTTTGTTTCACTGACCTGAAGTAATCCACCGCATAAAATATAAGTTTGCCTAAACTTTCGGGGATCCTTCCGAACTCCCATAGTATTATTTAGTAGAAAACTCACCTTTTCGAGGGAGAAATCATCATGGAGGGTGGAACACTTTAGAGAATCGAGAAACAAATTCCACAAAGTTGCCTGTGCAGACTCAGGTAATAATTTAATATCCAAGTAGGGGAATGAGTAATATGCTCAATTAGCAAATACTGACAGGTAGAAGTGTGTGACTGTAAAGCCATACATTCCTTCCTTGGTTTAAGAGAGAGCAGTCGGGATGCCAAGCAGAGGCCTGATGAAATGCATTACTGGACCAACGAAATCGGGTGCACCGCTTGGCACAAAGTTAATGAGCCTTCTCTTACCAAATACTGTCAACCCTCAGTGCAGAGGTTATAAATCATCGGTCCGAATTTTAATTAGCTTACTGACACTAACGTATGTGTCCATTTTTATGCTGATAAGACCGCTTTCGGGCGCCGACTCTGGTGAACATTACGGAACGGTGTATCAGTCCTTCCCTTTATAGTGAGGCCAAATTCCTGTCTAAATAGAAACTATCAAGTTAAAACATGGAACTTTGGCTAGGTTTGCTAATTCATATGAGCTTACTCTCTAAAATAATTACGCATTCAACAATCATGGGCGGACTGCTCCTACCCACACCCAGTGTGCAAAGATGATATCTTAGCCTAAAACGGAAATGTTTTTCTGCTTTTTAGCTGATTTTCTACCAGTTAACTGAGAGCTGATGGCAACAACTCAACTCACGAGGTAATGGCACTTGATTATTTATAGCATAAACTCTGTTCTAAAGACAATATCTCTCCTTATTCAAGATGCTTTGCAATACCTCCAAAACAAACTTGACACTAGTACTTTATTTCACTTCTACTCAGTTCGTTACCTTTTAAAATACTTGTGAAATAGTCATTTGTGCGCGGAGAATAGTTGTTTATACCGCCAGCCTAATGGTGGCGAAGTAAATTACGCGGATCGCCTTACAAGGTAATAAGAAAGTGCTCGCCTCAGTAAGCACGCGTTACAGTGATAAGTGTGGGCAATTCCCCAAAACATTGCTTTAATTATCATAAGAGTTCTGATTAACTTCTGGTATGCAATATATGAGGACTTGGGGTGGCTTTTTGTTAGAACTAGTTATAGATCAGGTCACTCACATTCCTCAAAGCTATCCCACCCAGTATAAATGGTATATTTTGGTGATTACCCACCCATTGCCTAAATGATATTTATCAATAAATAAATGCTCCTTGTGCCCCATATTTCCAGGTTTTACTTTGTGAGTTGGCTTTGCCTGCCTGACAAATACCCTTTTATGTACACTTGGATACGCATATATGCTGTAAGGATAAAAGGATCCTTACCTTCTCTCGGTACATCTTTTTTGAGCAATCGAATGATTGGATGAGAGCTGCAGCATGACCAACGAAGAGGGCATAGCAAGTGGATCCGGTCATCATGCTAATGATGGTGATCCAGGCTTCACCTGGACTTGTAGGGGGAAAGCGTCCGTAACCAATGGAGAGCATATGTGACATGGCCTTAAATAGAGCCCATGTGTACTGCTCAAACCAGCCGGCATCCTGAGTAAATGACAATAACTTTAGTGTGAGCCTGCACCAGAACTCTCCACTCTGGTTCATAATTCACTATTCCTGCTAATGTGGAAATTGAATGGGACATTTATAACCTAAATAATCGTAGACAGGCCATGAGTGGAAGCATAGAAGGGATGTTGGAGTTTATTGACACTGCCCCTTACATTAAAAATTGTAAAGCTGAATAAAATTTTTGATTAGTCAAATACAGAGCGGAATTAAAGCTTGACGGTGATCTCGAACTAACGCTAGCAGGAAACTTTGTCTCAAGAATGTCAAAAAAAGTACTAATAATTTATGTGCACGTAAAATCTTCAAAAATGCTAAATTCGGAAAGGATACAAAGAAAAGCAAAACTGACACCCATTTTTTTCTCTGTTAACACTTGAAATGAATTCATGAGAGTTACTGAACGACTAATGTCGGGTTGCCCACATGCCAACTTTGGGCCTCACAAAGTGCGTGTCAGTGAGTGCTAAAAATTAAATCTGTAGAATAGATAATTGCCGTAGTGGTAGACCTAGGCAATCATTTTCATCAAAATTTTCAAATTATTGCTGAAAAATGTTTGTTAGTGATAGCCGCATTCCCCAAACAGTGGTAGGATAGAGCATCAATAGCCAAACGGATTATTCGTTCAAACTAGCTTTTAAAATTAACTACTAAGAATGTTCAAATGACTATTTGCAGTCGCCACTTTTGTAGGAATAATTAAACAAACCTTTAGTTTGCACTTAATCACCCAACTGTCAACGGGGAAGTTGTTGAGCATCGGAATGAAGAACTGCAGACAGGCGTTCCAATGTCCAAGGAGAAGCATCAACAAAACCAGGTTAAAAATGCCCATAAACTTGTTGGCCACGTTGAGAAACTAAAGAAAGTAAAATAGACTGTGGCTTTGACAGTTTCTACTAAAACCACTTTCCAAATTCGGTCTTCTAATAAGATAATGATAATCTAGCCTAGCCTCATGCACATTAAGAATTGACTGTTTCCTGCTCTACCTTCAGACACCCAACTGATGTAGCAGCTAGTGGTGCCAGACAAAGTGAAGTCAAAAGCTGTGGATTTAGGCATCGCGATGCATAATTTCTGCTGCTGCCTTGATATGCCATTACGACTGGAAATAGTAAATAACCAAACCAGCAACAAAATCAACCCCGATTATCTCCACATCCCGAAAGTGGGAAGCGATATCTTAGTTGCGTGACCAAATGCTGTTGTGTTTGCGCCCCTTTTTTCGGGTGCGGGAGGGGGAGAGTGGGTCCTACCACCTACTGAACAGTAGAAAAATATTCCAAATATCCTTTAAGTGATACAGTCACCAAGAGCACAGGAGTCCCTACTCGTTTCCAGTAATTCTGCTGCAAGGTGATGCTAACAAGATTTGTCACAAAGAAGAAAGTTAGTATTCGCGGTACTAGGAAATTAATATGCCGAGGCGTTACTTAGGCTCCCATAACCCTGTAATTCTGACTCAAAAATAAATAACCTCCAAAATGATTATGTGCTGAGCGTGGTAACTTTAAAACCCAATCGGACTGTTCCATTCCACTCCTGAAGGGGTGTGTGTGGGGAAATGCAATTTTAAATGAGCCATAAAATGGTGCGAAATGACAGCATCTGTGCATCACCTGTGTGCGAGAAATGAAAAAAGGAGAATTTTCGATCTCCAAGTTTGTTAAAAAAGCACTGTTAAACAAAGCAATTGTCCACTTTTTAAGACTGACTGCTTTTTGTGCCTTGTACTTTTTTGACCGATACACGTAAGTAATGTCATTCGGAAATGCCAAAAAATCAACGCTTGAATAGCTAGGAAATGTGAGTGTTAGTTTGAACTCCCTAGAGGCCGGCACATCTACATGTCACATGCAGATGGTGTGTAAGACACCAAGGACCGTAAAATCTTGTGTATAGTGAAAAAATATGGTGTTACTCTGACTTCTTCCTTGGTGCTTCTACGTGTTGTGTTCGTGGAAAGAAAAGAGGTGGCATATAGGGACGAATTGAAGTGGACAAACCTCCTCCCATTGGCTGACGTAACGAACAAGACGAGTGATTCTTAAAAGACGCAGAAGGCCGAGGAGTTTGACGAGCCGGAGAATTCGGAGTGCGCGACCTGTAAAGGTGAATCAGCAATGCGTTTGGAGATGCCGAAAACGGGGTAGAGGAAAAGTAGCCTTAGTGGCAGTTGGCGACGGGGATAGTTAGCAGTAAAAATATTTAAAAAAGTACTTGTGGTGAATTGTGAATAATAACTTTTTATGACATCGCAAATGGTGCAAAATTTTCTTAGAGTTTAGTCAATATTTGTTAATGTGTTGCCCCTGTAGAAACGACTAAGTTTAGTTTTGGCAACAACATCTCCAACGGGTCACGAATAACTTCCGCCACCATTGAAGCAATACTTGTTTCAAACTAATGCTTTGAAGGTCTTTCAAAGTCATTCTTGGTTCTAAAAATCAACGTTCTACTTTCCCAGGCCATGGAAGCACGCAAATGAAGGCGATGACCAAGTGGAGTGACGGAGATGTGCGTGCGCATTCCGTCATTTTGTGAGAACAAAGCATTTGTTCGAATCACTTCAAATATAGCGTCTAATCCTTCAGGTATTGTTGGGTAAAAAGTGACGCATTTTTTAAGAAAAGGCTTAATAACTGATTATCCATGGTGCCTTGTACTAAGCATGACCAGCAGATACGTGTGGCTGATTAACAAGCTAAAATACAACTGCTTACTACTTTCGGGTGGTATTTAGGATTGGAGCTAAATGTGTAATTTAATTTGCACATTTGATAGACAAAAAGTGAGGAATGGTGTAGAGAATGATAAGCTGGTTAATGAGTTTTGTGTACAGACATTGGTGGAATTACCATAAAGTCAAAATGAGGGGAGGCAAGTCATTCTTCTTAAAACCTATTCCAGTCCGAAAAATTTTGCGAATAGCAAATACTTTAGTCCTGGCTAGGATCTATTTAGATGACGCGGCGATGGATGAAGGCAGCAGGTTAGTCTACCACTTTGGCCAATTCAGCACTCATACTTTTTCAAATATAATCAAATAATTTATGACGAGCCAGATTTTTTGAGTATGCCACTGTTCCAGGCTTGCATAATAGAAATCCTCATTAGCACTTTTATTAATAGCAATGAAAGCCTCATTTCACTTTACTTAATTTTTAATTTAAGTAAGCTTCTGCAGAGAAATATAGTTGTCTGTTAACTCAGTAGAAGCTGAAATAGTTCAGCGGTATAAATGATTCAACATCACGTCATAAAGTGAATGGAGATTGTTTTTCACCCATTTCCGAAAGGTGGTTCAAATTTACCCTCCAACGCCTACGCATCGCGCAGAATTACTGTTGGAAAAATTCAGCGAGAAAGATATCTGCAACTACCTCTCCCTAAGGTTCAATCAAAATAATGCGGAGAAAAACCTACATGTTATTTAAGTTCATAAAGCCGTTTTTCGAGTATTCTGTCTGTTTGATAGTAAATTTTGAATCGCAAGGCGGGAATCACAAAACCGCGTCGGTGGATTTTGTAGGTAAGGCTTGGTGATGAATTCGAATGCAAGCATTGCGTAAATTAAGGTCACTCCTGTAAATTGCTTGCTATTGCAATACTTTTTTCCTCGAAATGGTCGTTCTTGCGGCTCCGCCTGCTGCAATTCTGCATTCATAGAGCATCGCATTTTTGGTATATTTCTCCAGATAACAATTGACCGTTGACTTCCACCTCCTCCGATCGTCGAAACACTCTACTTACTTAGTAGCAATCATCAACATGCTTGCATGTAAAAAGTTCTTCAGCAGAGTTGTCTGCTTTCCTGTTTGGCTAGACGCTTGTAAGAGCCATTTCCCTTTACGATATTCAATTGTGATGACAAGGTTAGTATTCATCTTAAAATTTGACTTGTCAAGCGCAGGGATTGCAGTGGAACAGTTATACTGAGAACATCCTCTATACACAATGTTGGTGTGACTTGGATTTAACTACAGCGTGGTTGAGGAGCCACCTCCTACTGCATTGCTATTCAGGGCTGGGATGACCATTTGTGCGAGGTTCCAATGTCCATTTACTTGTGATGAGTTAAAAGCGCCATTTGTATTAACTCGATAACATCTAAATGGTTGGGCTAAACTTCACCCACATTTTTAAAAAAAAGAGATAAACGTTTCATTGCTTACTTTATCGTCACCAAAACTATCAATTACTAGAAGTTATCCCGTCTTATTTACAAAGCCTAAAATCACTTTTGAAGGTTCAAATTGCTATCATCCTTATATTAGATTAACCTGAATGCAATGAACTTATGGAAATCATCGAGTATGATTAGCAGTTCTACTTATCTGCATAAAAGTTGAGGCAGAGTGAAAAGCCAGTAAAAATCCTCGACTTGTGACATCTCGTAAGTTTGTCACAACATCCAAATTAGACAACTCAAACAATGTTGACAATTTTGCAGCCTTAACCAAATCCTAACAATTCCTGGAATCCTATCCTTAACTTAACCCCTTGAAACAAAATAGACCTTGGTAGCGTCCTTAAAGCAGAAAAATGAAAGCGTGGAGCATTGACAAAACCAATGAATATAAAGCAGCATTGAATGCTGCTGGCATAGGAGAGGACGAGGAAGAAAGGAGAACGAACCAGCGCTGACGAGGTGAGATCGAGCCTTCGCCTCATCACTGAGCAGTAGGAAAATATAATCAAGTGGAATGGAGCTTATGAAATCCAGTGCAAACCACGTACGAAGGTAGTGATTAGCTATTTTCTTGGGGTTCAGGATAATCTCATCGGCAAACTGATTGGTCAAAATTCCTTTAAAGTAAAAAAAGATTCAAAGTAAATTACATCAAGCCGATGGTTAAAACTAGTAATCAGAGTTTTTTTAAATATGAAAGTGGTTCTATCAAAGTCTTTTTTACGTGATGAAAAGTTTTCTGAAATAAAATTAAGCGGGATTTGGCATTGACGTCTATGATGCATATACTTTAATGGCACCTACGATATGTAAAATGGCATTCAGAAGATAAATTTTCCAAAAATTATTGCGATGGGATTTATTTTAACATTCGTTGCTAAAAGTGAGGCCACTCATTTAACTAATCGGTGATGGCCGCGCATTCATTTGGATGGCGCAATCGTTCTAGCTCCAGTGAACATTTGACTGGATTCACTACAACATCTGTATGCTATTCCTAGCCAGTTTTCCGGGTATACAAAAAAAGGCATAAAGAAGGTGCAATCCGACTACTTCTGGTCCTGCCTCATGTAAAAATTGGATCACAATAGGTGCAGAAGTTAACGCCTTGGTACTCAGGCAGACTAGAAGGACTTAGTTCCTAATTAACAAATTCCTTTTGTTGCTAGCTAGTCCACATATTTTCTTTTTATTTGTAGCACATGATGTTAAGAGGAATGCTACTTGTATTTGTAAATTCTGAATAAATAACATTTTGCTTGGTAATATTTTGGCCTTAAATGGATACAATACGTACCACTGGGAGCATCCAAGTCATTAACATTGATTATAAGTACAGCACTACACTTTCAGTATAAAGCGTACAAATAAGGAGAAGGATCTGTCAGCCACTTTGCCGTCTTTTATCGTCTTCTGCTTAAGTGTTTTGAAAACCAAATATTATTTACGGGGCACTTTTATCCTTCCATGCATGTGAAGCCTCATTTTCTATTAAGTTCCAAATTTTTATCCGACAACAAATGATTCCAAACAGGTCTCTTGCGAATAATTACAAAATAATCATACTGACCTGTTCGAAAGTTCACAACAATGTCTACAAGGAAGATGGTGTCGGAGACGCAGTTGAAGCATATTGCCTGAAAACCCAAGTCTTCAAGAAAAAATGAGATGAAAACTGGAAGTATGATCAAATTCGCAATGAGCAAAACGAGCATCAGCAAGTCCCAGTAAAATCTAAAAAGCAGCATGTAAAAATAAATTAACTAGACAGTGCACATTAAGAAGGAATGGTTTATTCCCTCCCCTATATAGAATGGCGCGCTATGCACGAATGACTTACGAAGCATTTCATTTGCCAAAATCTACAAATTGATGGTGTTTAATGCCTTCGAAAATTTACTTCAGTCCTTTTAAATTACGAAATCTCAAATGTTAAATAAGAATACATTCGGTGAGAATTGAGATCGGAGGATTGGTCATATTTTGGCCCAAATGTTTTGTCTGACAATCTAACAAGCTTCGACAAACAAGCACAAACTGATGATTTCTTTCAACTAGGTAGCGAGCATTCGGAAAACACTATCGTTCGGGTAAATGCGATTTGGGCATAAACAGGGAAGCACGTTTAAGAGTAATACCTCACTTAAAGTTGTTACTTTGACACCAAAAGACTTGCATCAGAAATGCTTCAGGACCCGCCGTATCTTAGATGTTTTTAATAGCATACGAAACCCATGTAGATCGAGAGGAGCATTTTACACTCAAAGGTAACCCCATCGCACGACACCTCGAGGTCGTGAACGATGGACGGTATGCAATAAACACGCTGACATTTCAGGTGGTCCACCTCGAGCCAGAAGATGCATTTTTGGTGCTTAAATGTCCCCTAAACTGCTACGGGTTGCATTGCTTTGCATAAGAGACCCATTGAAAAGGGCCTACCTCATTTCTTGTTATACAATTCGTTAACCCTACGTCATGGCCCTAACTTAATATGCATTATTAAGTTTTACCGAGAACTTTACATATTTTAACAACCCCACCCTGGTAATGACACCCACCTCGATGAAATTGGGGTAAATATGCATATGCAATTACAGTGCTACTACTTTACCTCACCAATCGCGAGTAAGCGACTTTGTCTCAAAATATAGAACGAACGATTGTTTGCTTGCAAATGGAATAATGTTGCTATCAACTCTATTTGACCTCTAGTGGCTCGCTCCTACTTAGCATTCTCATTTCGCTGTTGTTGGATGCATGCTTAATAACACGATGATGGTTGTATAGCATTTTTGAAATTTTATGAAAAGGCTTACCTTGACTACACATTGTAGCCAGGGTACTGAAGTAAAAGGAATGGCACAAGAAGACCCAAAAATTACCGCGAATTACTGCAGAGATATTATGCAGATACAGAACACTTCCCTATCACTTCATTTGTAGAAATAATCAGTCTCACAAGCACTTTTTCATCCTCAACGGGACAGCAGAATTTTCAGTCGAACTATACTTCCACAAACCGTTCTGTTTGTGGAATCAAACAAACCAGCTCTGACGGCCACAACGTCTGCCTCACTTTTGCTTCTGGACTGTTTACATCACATGTAACTGTCTGATGCCAAGCAAATTTGATAAGCACTACTTGGAGGCATGTAATCAGGGTAATACTTTAAATGAAGCCAAGGACGAGGATGAGGGCTGGGCAGAAACTCATTTCCCTCATTCTCTTCCACCATCCCTAAAATGTAAAGCTCATGGGTCGAATAAATGGTGACATAAAGGAACAAAATCTCCTGCTGCCCTGCAGTAATGAGCATTCACTAGTTCTGACTGTTTCTTTAAAGCGCGTTGTTCTTGCTCGCCTTCCAGTTGTTTTGTGTTAGATCGAGTGGATGGGTGTTAGGCGTAACTGGTCTTCTGTAAGTGAGCAATTACCACTGAATCCCCCTTTTGCTGTCAACCACAAGCACACACAAAGTAAGATGAAGTAGTGTGTGCCTTAGAAAGAGAGAGCAGTGGGAGGACGAATGAAGATGATGTGTACGTTCATGGTGCACTCGGCAAATGGCGAATCAATCATTGGGTAAACAATCCAAAGCATACGGCGCGTTTTTACATGACAAATGAAGCGGTCGAAGAAGCAGGGG